ACTAACGGGAATGACTAATGGGAGTAATTAACAGGAATAATTAACGGGAATAACTAACGGGAATGACTAATGGGAGTAATTAACAGGAATAATTAACGGGAATAGCGGGAGTAACTAACGGGAATGACTAACGGGAATAATGGGAATAACTAACGGGAATAACAGGAATGAATAATGGGAATAGCGGGAATGAATAACGGGAATAACTAACGGGAATAACTAACGGGAGTAATTAACAGGAATAACTAACGGGAATAACGGGAATGAATAATGGGAATAGCGGGAATGAATAATGGGAATAACTAACGGGAATAGCGGGAGTAATTAAAGGGAATGAATAACGGGAAAAACAGGAATAGCAGGAATAATTAACAGGAATAACTAACAGGAACAGCAGGAATAACTAACGGGAATAATGGGAATAGTGGGAATGATGGGAATAATTAACAGGAATAACTAATAATAGTGGGAATAGTGGGAATAGCGGGAATAATTAACGGGAATGAATAACGGGAATTGCGGGAATGAATAACGGGAATTGCGGGAATAATAAATGGGAATAGCGGGAATGACTAACGGGAATTGCGGGAATAACTAACGGGAATTGCGGGAATAATAAATGGGAATAGCGGGAATGAATAACGGGAATAGCGTGAATAGCTAACGGGAATAGCGGGAATAATTAATGGGAATAGCGGGAATAATTAATGGGAATGAATAACGAGCATAACGGGAATAACTAACGGGAATAGCAGGAATAATTAATGGGAATAGCGGGAATAATTAATGGGAATGAATAATGGGAATAATGGGAATAGCGGGAATAGCGGGAATAATTAACAGGAGTAACTAACGGTAATAGCGGGAATAATTAATGGGAATGAATAATGGGCATAACGGGAATAACTAACGGGAATAGCGGGAATGACTAATGGGAGTAATTAACAGGAATAATTAACAGGAATAATTAACAGGAATGGCGGGAATGACTAATGGGAATAATTAACAGGAATAATTAACGGGAATAGTGGGAGTAACTAACGGGAATAGCGGGAATAATTAATGGGAATAGCGGGAATAATTAATGGGAATGAATAATGGGAATAGCGGGATTAATTAACAGGAATAACTAACGGGAATAGCGGAAATAACTAACGGGAATAGCGGGAATAATTAATGGGAATAGCAGGAATAACTAATGGGAATAGCGGGAATAATTAACAGGAATAACTAACGGGAATAGCGGAAATAATTAACGGTAATAACGAACAGGAATAATGAACGGGAATAACTAACAGGGATAGCGGGAAAACGGGAATAACTAACGGGAATAGCGGGAATAATTAATGGGAATAGTGGGAATAATTAAAGGGAATGAATAACGGGCATAACGGGAATAACTAACGGGAATAACTAACGGGAATAACGGGAATAGTGGAAATAACTAATGAGAATAGCGGGAATAATTAGTGGGAATGAATAATGGGAATAGTGGGAATGAATAATGGGAATAACTAACGGGAATAACGGGAATAGAGGAAATAACTAATGAGAATAGCGGGAATAATTAGAGGGAATGAATAATGGGAATAGTGGGAATGAATAATGGGAATAACTAACGGGAATAACGGGAATAGAGGAAATAACTAATGAGAATAGCGGGAATAATTAGTGGGAATGAATAATGGGAATAACTAACGGGAATAGTGGGAACAATTAACGGGAATAGCGGGAATAATTAACAGGAGTAACTAACGGGAATAGTGGGAACAATTAACGGGAATAGCGGGAATAATTAATGGGAATGAATAACGGGAATAACTAACGGGAATAACGGGAATTACAGGAATAAATAACAGGAATTGTGGGAATTACGGGAATAACGAACGGGAATAGTGGGAATAATTAACGGGAATAACTAATGGGAATTACGGGAATAGCGAGAATAATTAACAGGAATAACTAACCGGAATAGCGGGAATAACTAATTAATGGGAAGAGCGGGAATAATTATCAGGAATGACTAATGGGAATGACTAATGGGAATAGCGGGAATAGCAGGAATAATTAACAGGAATAACTAACGGGAATAGCGGGAATAATTAACGGTAATAACGAACAGGAATAATGAACGGGAATAACTAACAGGGATAGCGGGAATAACGAACGGGAATTACGGGAATAATGGAAATAACTAACGGGAATAACGGGAATAACGGGAATAGCGGGAGGAGGTCAGGAGTTCTGGGATAGGCTGGGAATTCTGGGATGGGCTGGGAATTTTGGGATGGGATGCCTAATGATCCTGACGGGATCTGATCCCAATCCCAGTGATTGTGATGGGATCTGATCCCGATGCCAGTGATCCCGATCCCAATGGGATCTGATCTCGATCCCGCTGATCCAGATGGGATCTGATCCTGATCCCAGTGTTCCTGATCCCACTGATCCCAATCCCGCTGATCCTGATGGGATCTGATCCCGATGATCCCGCTAATCACAATTCCACAGATCCCAATCCCGATGGGATCTGACCCCAATCCCGCTGATCCCGATCCCAATCTGATCCCGATCCCAATCTGATCCCGATCCCAATCTGATCCCGATCCCACCAATCCCAATCCCGATCCCATTCCCAATCCCAATCCTGATCCCAACCTGATCCCGACCCCACTGACCCCAGTCCTGCTGATCCTGACCCTGCTAATCCCGATCCTGAGGGGATCTGATCCCGCTGATCCCGATCCCCCTAATCCCGATCCCGATCTGATCCCGATCCCGTCCATTTTCCAGGATTTCATCACTTTTCTGGATAAACTGGTGAGGATTTGGGGTTTGGGATTTTGGGGTTTTGGGGGTTTGGGGTTTGGGATTTGGGGTTTGGGATTTGGAAGTTGGGGTTTTGGGGTTTGGAGAATGCCTTTGAGGTTTGGGTTTTTTGGGATTTGGGAATTTGGGGTTTGGGGTTTGGGATTGGGGTTTGGGATTTGGGATTTGGGATTTTTGGGATTTCGAGGTTTGGAAGTTGGGATTTGGAATTGGGATTTGGGGTTTGGGAATTTGGGGTTTGGGATTTTAGGGTTTGGGATTTTGGGGTTTGGAAGTTGGGATTTTAGATTTGGAGTGTGGGATTTGAGATTTGGGGTTGGGATTTGGGAATTTGGGGTTTGGGATTTAGGATCTGAGGTTTGGGGTTTGGAAGTGAGGATTTTGAGGGGGTTGAGCTTTGGGATTTGGGATTTTGAGGATTTTGAGGGTTTTGGGGTTTGGAGAATGGGATTTTGGGTTTGGGTTTTTTGGGATTTGGGAATTTGGGGTTTGGTGGTTTTGGGTTTTGGAGTCTGGGATTTGGGGTTTGGGATTTGGAATTTTTGGGATTTGGGGTTTGGGATTGGGGTTTGGGCTTTGGGAATGGCGTTTGGAAATTGGGATTTGGGAATTTGGGATTTGAGATTTGGGGTTGGGATTTGGGAATTTGGGGTTTGGGATTTGGGATTTGAGGTTTGGGGTTGGGATTTGGGAATTTGGGGTTTGGGATTTGGGATTTGAGGTTTGGGGTTTGGAAGTGGGGATTTTGAGGGGTTTGGGGAATGGGAATTGGGGTATGGTGTTTTTGGGATTTGGAGTCTGGGATTTGGGGTTTTGGGATTTCGAATTTTTGGGGTTTGGGCTTTGGGATTGGTGTTTGGAATTTGGGGCTTGGGGTTTGGGAATTTGGGATTTGGGATTTTTGGGATTTTGGGGTTTGGAAGTTGGGATTTGGAGTTTGCGATTTTGGGGTTTGGGATTTAGGGGTTTGGGATTTGGAAGTGGGGATTTTGAGGGGTTTGGAATTTGGGGTTTGGGGTTCGGGAATTTGGGATTTTAGATTTGGAGTGTGGGATTTGACATTTGGGGTTGGGGTTTGGGAATTTGGGATTTGGGATTTTGAGGGGTTTGGGGTTTGGGGAATGGGAATAGGGGTTTGGGATTTGGGAATTTGGGATTTGGAATTTTTGGGATTTTGGGGTTTGGAAGTTGGGATTTGGGAATTCGGGATTTGGGATTTAGGATTTGAGGTTTGGGATTTGGGATTGAGGTTTGGGCTTTGGGAATGGCATTTGGAATTTGGGGTTTGGGAATTTGGGATTTGGAATTTTTGGGATTTTGGGGTTTGGAAGTTGGGATTTGGGAATTCGGGATTTGGGATTTAGGATTTGAGGTTTGGGATTTGGGATTGAGGTTTGGGCTTTGGGAATGGCATTTGGAATTTGGGGTTTGGGAATTTGGGATTTGGAATTTTTGGGATTTTGGGGTTTGGGATTGGGGTTTGGGCTTTGGGAATGGCATTTGGAATTTGGGGTTTGGGAATTTGGGATTTGGGATTTTTGGGATTTTGGAGTTTGGAAGTTGGGATTTGGGGTTTGGGAATTTGGGGATTTTGGGGTTTGGAAGTGGGGATTTTGAGGATTTTGAGGATTTTGGGGTTTGGGATTTTTGGGATTTTGGGGTTTGGGATTTGGGATTTTTGGGGTTTTGGATTGGGGTGTGGGCTTTGGGATTGGCGTTTGGAATTTGGGATCTGGGATTTTTGGGCTTTTGGGGTTTGGGATTTGGGATTTGGGATGTTGAGGATTTTGGGGTTTGGGATTTGGAAGTTGGGATTTTAGATTTGGAATATATGGGATTTGACATTTGGGGTTGGGGTTTGGGAATTCGGGATCTGGGATATTTGGGATTTTGGTGTTTGGGAATTGGGATTTTGAGGATGTTGAGGATTTTGGGGTTTGGGAATTTGGGGATTTTGGGGTTTGGGATTTGGGATTTTTGGGGTTTGGGATTTAGGATCTGAGGTTTGGGATTTGGAATTTTTGGGGTTTGGGGTTTGGGATTGGGGTTTGACATTTGGGGTTGGGGTTTGGGAATTCGGGATCTGGGATTTTTGGGATTTTGGGGTTTGGGATTTGGGATTTTTGGGATTTGGGATTTTTGGGGTTTTGGATTGGGGTGTGGGCTTTGGGATTGGCGTTTGGAATTTGGGATCTGGGATTTTTGGGCTTTTGGGGTTTGGGATTTGGGATTTTTGGGGTTTTGGATTGGGGTGTGGGCTTTGGGATTGGCGTTTGGAATTTGGGATCTGGGATTTTTGGGCTTTTGGGGTTTGGGATTTGGGATTTTTGGGGTTTTGGATTGGGGTGTGGGCTTTGGGATTGGCGTTTGGAATTTGGGATCTGGGATTTTTGGGCTTTTGGGGTTTGGGATTTGGGATTTTTGGGGTTTTGGATTGGGGTGTGGGCTTTGGGATTGGCGTTTGGAATTTGGGATCTGGGATTTTTGGGCTTTTGGGGTTTGGGATTTGGGATTTTTGGGGTTTTGGATTGGGGTGTGGGCTTTGGGATTGGCGTTTGGAATTTGGGATCTGGGATTTTTGGGCTTTTGGGGTTTGGGATTTGGGATTTTTGGGGTTTTGGATTGGGGTGTGGGCTTTGGGATTGGCGTTTGGAATTTGGGATCTGGGATTTTTGGGCTTTTGGGGTTTGGGATTTGGGATTTTTGGGGTTTTGGATTGGGGTGTGGGCTTTGGGATTGGCGTTTGGAATTTGGGATCTGGGATTTTTGGGCTTTTGGGGTTTGGGATTTGGGATTTTTGGGGTTTTGGATTGGGGTGTGGGCTTTGGGATTGGCGTTTGGAATTTGGGATCTGGGATTTTTGGGCTTTTGGGGTTTGGGATTTGGGATTTTTGGGGTTTTGGATTGGGGTGTGGGCTTTGGGATTGGCGTTTGGAATTTGGGATCTGGGATTTTTGGGCTTTTGGGGTTTGGGATTTGGGATTTTTGGGGTTTTGGATTGGGGTGTGGGCTTTGGGATTGGCGTTTGGAATTTGGGATCTGGGATTTTTGGGCTTTTGGGGTTTGGGATTTGGGATTTTTGGGGTTTTGGATTGGGGTGTGGGCTTTGGGATTGGCGTTTGGAATTTGGGATCTGGGATTTTTGGGCTTTTGGGGTTTGGGATTTGGGATTTTTGGGGTTTTGGATTGGGGTGTGGGCTTTGGGATTGGCGTTTGGAATTTGGGATCTGGGATTTTTGGGCTTTTGGGGTTTGGGATTTGGGATTTTTGGGGTTTTGGATTGGGGTGTGGGCTTTGGGATTGGCGTTTGGAATTTGGGATCTGGGATTTTTGGGCTTTTGGGGTTTGGGATTTGGGATTTTTGGGGTTTTGGATTGGGGTGTGGGCTTTGGGATTGGCGTTTGGAATTTGGGATCTGGGATTTTTGGGCTTTTGGGGTTTGGGATTTGGGATTTTTGGGGTTTTGGATTGGGGTGTGGGCTTTGGGATTGGCGTTTGGAATTTGGGATCTGGGATTTTTGGGCTTTTGGGGTTTGGGATTTGGGATTTTTGGGGTTTTGGATTGGGGTGTGGGCTTTGGGATTGGCGTTTGGAATTTGGGATCTGGGATTTTTGGGCTTTTGGGGTTTGGGATTTGGGATTTTTGGGGTTTTGGATTGGGGTGTGGGCTTTGGGATTGGCGTTTGGAATTTGGGATCTGGGATTTTTTTGGGGATTTTGGGGTTTGGGATTTGGGATTTTTGGGGTTTGGGATTTAGGATCTGAGGTTTGGGATTTGGAATTTTTGGGGTTTGGGGTTTGGGATTGGGGTTTGGCATTTGGGGTTGGGGTTTGGGAATTCGGGATCTGGGATATTTGGGGATTTTGGGGTTTGGGATTTGGGATTTTTGGGATGTTGAGGATTTTGGGGTTTGGGAATTTGGGGATTTTGGGGTTTGGGATTTGGGATTTTTGGGATGTTGAGGATTTTGGGGTTTGGGATTTGGAAGTTGGGATTTTAGATTTGGAATATATGGGATTTGACATTTGGGGTTGGGGTTTGGGAATTCGGGATCTGGGATTTTTGGGATTTTGGGGTTTGGGATTTGGGATTTTGAGGATGTTGAGGATTTTGGGGTTTGGGATTTGGAAGTTGGGATTTTAGATTTGGAATATATGGGATTTGACATTTGGGGTTGGGGTTTGGGAATTCGGGATCTGGGATATTTGGGATTTTGGTGTTTGGGAATTGGGATTTTGAGGATGTTGAGGATTTTGGGGTTTGGGAATTTGGGGATTCTGGGATTGGGATTGGTCCCTTCCCGCAGGGAATCCCGCAGGTTGTCCTGGTTGGCCACGACTGGGGCGGGGCCATGGCCTGGAACGTGGCGCTGTTCTACCCCGAGCGGCTGCGGTGAGCCCGCGGGGACCCCAAATCCACGGAAAAA